TTTCCATCAACTTCATTCTGATAAAATTCTGGACTTTATTCCAAAGGTCAAGTTTCAATGGGGAGAACTTCTGCATAGAGATGCTGTGATATCCAGGTCACACCCCACACACCCCTTCAGAAGATAAACAAACAGCTTCACCCAGTCAGGCAGCGAGACTGACAACAGCAGCATTACCTTCCATCTGCAGTTTTAAAAAGTATAAACACACACAGAGTCCCACTGCATAGGGCTGTAGGGCTGCAGGGCTGAAGACCCTTGCTGGTTGAGGGTACAAGTTAATCAGATGCATTAGGAGCAACAGGAAAAGGTCTAAAAGAGGGGCTGGGGATACAGCTCAGTTGGTAGAGTGCTTGCCTCACATGCACAAGACCCTGGGTTCAATTCAATTCCCAGCACCCCCCCCCCACCACAAAAAGTCTAAAAGAGAAGTACTTTTAGGGACTCAAAATACAATGCAAATGTTATGTAAATGGTTGTGTAGAATGTACTCATAGGGAATAATGACAAGAAAAAGTTTAAACAAGTTCAGTACATATATAAACTTCAGTTCCTTTTAGAGCATTTTTGATCGAGACTGACCTTATCGGTGGATGTGGAGCTCATGGACACAGGAGGCAACTATATTCTACAGTGGTGGATGATGCTAGTTAATAAAAATTTCAGTTATCAAAAACTGAAACTAAAATCAAACCAAAACAACTTTCACAATGTATTTCTGCTTAGGAATTAAGCTCTAAAAGCATACACAGCAACCAAGAGTTGAGTTTAAACAGGTTGAGGTTTTTTTGTTTGTTTTTCTTGTACTTGGGACTGAACCCAGGGGTGCTCCATACACTGAGCTATAGCCCCAGCCCTTTTCATTTTTTTTATTTTTGAGACAGGATCTTCCTAAATTGTGGTTGTCTTGCCTCAGTCTCCAAAGTTGCTGGGATTACAGGTGTATGCTAGTTTCTGTTATGGTTCTGAAAACAGACACTTAAAAACAAACATTGGCCTTTTCCCCTTTCCCCTCCCCTCATGGGGTTGTCTTGTGCTCCCCACTTTAGAACCACTGCCCTGGTTGGCCTTGGAAGATTTACAGGTACATCTGGTTTCTGTTTTTAAGTGGTACTCTGAAGGTAGACCCTTGACTTCCCAAAAAAACTAAACTAGCCAGACCAACCTGGACCCCAAGGTCTGGCAATCTCATCCACTCTGGATCTCCCGCTGTCACTCCCAAATTTCAACTCTTCAGTTTTGTTTATTTTTTCCTTTTTCTCCTCCCCTGAGATAGGGTCTTACTGTGTTGCCCAGGCTGGCCTTGAATGCCTGGGCTCAAGTGGTCCTCTGGCCTCAGCCTCTCCAGTAGCAGGGATCTCAGGTGAGTGCTGCCATGCCCCATCCTAGCTCTGCAGTTGCCAGGCATTCCAGTAATCCAAAAAAAAAAACAATGTTGATTTACCCTCTCTAGCTCTTCTTGCTCCCAAGTGGCATATCTGCACTCTGTCAAATTTAAACCTCTAAAATCATCTTCTGTCTCTTCTTTATCCCATGTCAGAGCCAATCAGGACATGAGACTTGGCATCTTGAAATGGCTCCAATCTCCCGCTGTCCATTCCCATTCCATCCTGGACTACACACACACACACACACACACACACACACACCCCACTCTTCCCAATAACTGAAGCCTCCATCATTTCACTCCCTTGCTCAAAAATCTTTAGAAGCTTCCAAGGCCAACCTGGGCAGTGGTTCCAAAGTGGGGAGCACAAGACAACCCCAAGAGGGGAGGGAAAGGGGGAAAAGGACAAAGTTTGTTTTTATTTAACAAATAGAGAATTAAATGTTACTAAGGATCAAACTGATCTGGTGCCCTTGCCAGTGGTCCTTAAGTGGATTAGCTCAGCGTGGGGGTAGAGGGAGGGAGAAGGGACAGGACTTCCTCACTCAGGTCTTTGCTTTCACTATGCTGAGATGTTCCTCTTTGTACAATAAGTCACCAACTTAGTATTTACAAAAGCACAGTGTGATCTCCACAATGCATCCCAATGGAGGAAGACCTTCAGGATCACAGTAGTTACCCTTGTTTTTGTAACAGTGTCTTCCACACCTGACTTTGCTGGGCATAGTGTCTATCAACAGCACCCAGATTAACAATGGTCCTGAAAATTGATACAGGGGACCTCGGTCTTTACTTACACGACTCTGCTTTATACTGCAAGTCTGCTATGGTTTGTTTTTGAATTTCTACTATGTGTTTGTATTATAATGTCTACATTAGTATGTTTATGTACAAATAGATACATTGACACTGTATGTTTATTTATTTAATTTTTTTACTATTGAGGATACAAGACCCAAAGTCTGGAGACCAAGGTGCTGTGCCTTAGGTTCGAGCCCACCTTTCTGCCTTACACAACTGCCTTTCCAGCACCTCCACCTGTATGTCCAACTGGCATTTTTTTTTTTTTTAAAGAGAGAGAGAGAATTTTTTTTTAATATTTATTTTTTAGTTTTCGGCGGACACAACATCTTTGTATATGGTACTGAGGATCGAACTCGGGCCGAACGCATGCCAGGCGAGCGCGCTACCACTTGAGCCACATCTCCAGCCCCCCAACTGGCATTTTTAACTCAATTTAAAAAACGAGCTCCTGAATCTTTCCACACCCAAACCTGCTCTCTTCTAGAAGTCTTGCCCATCTCAGCAAATACCAACTCCAAGGACCCAAACTTAGGTGTCATCTGTGATTCCAGTTTCTCTTTAAGTCCTCATATAACCAACAATCAGCAAATCTCACTCACTCCAGTCAAAAAATATCCCAAACCTAGCAACCTTTTACCATCTCCACAGATGTCACCCAGAGCACGACTCTTAATCTGTCATTCTCCCTTGACCTGTTCTTAAAATGGGAGCAAGAACAAGTCATTGCTATGCTCAAAGATCCTCGCATTGTGGTCCCATTTTCAAGAGAATGCAACATTTTTTAAGACCTGCTGTTCTCTTCATTGCCCTCCCTGGAATTACACTGGTTCCTCATATTCTCAAACATCTTAGGCACCCCACTCTCATCCCAGGGCTCTCAGAATATTCTTTCTTCCTTCCTTCCTGTCACTAGGTATTGAACCCAGGGGTGCTCTCCCACTCTACCACTGAGCCACATACCCAGCTGTTTTTTATATTTTGGGACCGGGTTTCACTAAATTGCTCAGGCGCCCTCAAACTTGCAATCCTCTTGCCTCAGCCTCCTGAACAGCTAGAATTACAAGTGTGAACCACCATGCCTGGCCCTGGAATCTCTTTCTATACGTAAACTCTGATTCCTTTGAGGCTTTACTCAAATGTCACATCCTGGGTGACACTTACCCTGCCTGTTCTAAAATCACAACTTTCTTCCTTGACAATCCCTCCTCTCCCCTGGTTTTTTCTTCTGTGCTTGTCACCAAGATACTTTGTAATGTGGGATATGACAAAAGTAAGTAAAATGTGTAGTAAAGTCCATGAGAACAAGGTGTTTTGTTCTCTGCTGTATTTCTAGTGCCTAGGCTCAATGCCATCAAAATTCAATCCTTCTGGGCTAGGTGTGTAGCTCACTGGTAAAGCGCTTACCTAACATGCACTGGGTTCGATCTCTAGCATCTGCAAAAGAAAAAAAAAAAAACCACTCTGCCCCCACTTAGGTTCTTCCTGCTTTACCTTTGCCCAGCTGTCCCTCCCCTACTCCTCAGCATCAATCTTCATTACCTCCACCTGTCATAAGTTAACTCATTGCTGGCTCATCTAGATGCCACTTCTCACTCATCTTGTTAGGCCTTACAGGATCCAGCATACTCAATATGCTTATTTGTGTCTTTATTTTTCTAATGAATTAACTGTAGCCTAAATAAGAAATGTAAAATCAATTCCCATTAGTAATCACCTCCCTTTTGGTTGTGATACTTAAGAGGGAACACAGGCATCTCCTGGATTCTCAAATTTTGGCTGTATTAGATTCATTGGGGGCACTTGGTGAAGATAGAGGTTCACGGTTCTACCTTCCTTAATGAGCTACTTTCAGGTGATTCTGATCTCACCAGAGTATGAGAACCACCCTCCTAGAAGATGGCTAAAAACAGCTTAGGCTCAAGTGGTCCTAGGCCAAGTCAAGAGGCTGTCAAGACACCTGGGGGACAGGAACAGTCTCTCCAAAGCAGGGAGGACCCTTCAAAAAAAGTTCTTAGGAGCAGAGCAGAATGCTCAGACTCTTTGAGGGACGGCCCACTGGCAGTCACTAGGAGCGCTGAGTAACCAACCTCGGCCCAGGTCGATATCCTCCTTGCTTCAGCCTGCTTACTACTATGGAGTCAGTACTACACGTTGTTTCTCTCCTTCACACTCAACCCATACAGATAGTGCAAAGAGGAGGACATTACTTGTCAAAGCCATGGGAAGTTGCATAAAAACGTAAGTTACTTCCGGACGTTCTCAAAGCACACAGGACAAGAGCGCATTCTCTGGGGACCTGGGGGGTCGAGCTGGGGAAGCTCTGCGAAGCACACCCTCCTGAAGCCGGGTCACCTCGCCCGCTCCAGGGCTTTCTCCTTGCACTTCCCGCCCGGCGTCAGCGCTGGCTGACTGCGCCACGGCTTCCAGCTGGTGCCGGGCGGCCCTGCTGGGGCCCGAGGTGGCCTGCAGGTTCGGAGACACGCACGAGCCCGTGACGCGCGAGGCCGGGCCGGGGTCACGGCTTGCAGGCCGCCTCTCTTCGGGTCTACCTGGGCTGAGGTGCTGAAGCTCCGGCGGAGAGCGGCGCCGGCGGGCCGGGCGAGGGCGGAGAGCATGGCTGGGGCGGGCGGAGCGCAGACCGGCAGGCACAGGAACTGGCAGCGAGCAGATGACTCCAACGACCTCCACACTGCACTGAGCCCGCAGCCCGGCTCCGTTCCTCCGGGTCTCGCGAGAGCGCCGACTTCCGGTCCCGCCCACCTCCAGGATCTCGCGATATCGCGATCATTTCCGGGCTGCGGGGAGGAAAGCTGGGGGCCGACCCTGGCAACTCTGTGGTGTTTGGCTGTGCCTTGCTGCGACTCAGGGCCCGCGTGGGCAGTGGGGGAGCCGCGGTTGGAGTGGGAGGGGGAGTCCGCTCCCGAGAGGTGGAAGAGGACGGGCTCACGCTGGGAGCGCCTTAGAGGAGCCGTTTTCCAGGTGGGGCTCCACACAGGCCCCGACAGCCAGCCTGGGCGCGGTGGCGCAGCAGGTCAGGCGGAGTGTGTCCCGGACCCGGGTCCCCGACCTCCACCGATCTACCCCTCCTGACCCTGGAGCGAGACGGGAGGGGGCTGTGAGCGAGGCAAAACGGGGAGGGGAGGGGCGGGGAGACGGAGAGTCCCGAGGCGGAGTGGGCATCAGTTCACCTCCGTGCACCTGCCCTCAGATTGCACAGGTCCTTACCTTACAAGTAACAAAACTTCACGGACTCTGCTACGAATAGTAGCGAACCTTAGTACTGACCGCAGCTCCCTGTGCTGTTCGAGGACCACAGTCCTGTGTTGCAGAGGAAATGGACACAAAGACTAGCACAGTCATCCAACCCGCAGTGCTGTGGACACAGTCCCACTGTTTTCTTCTTTACAATTAAGATAACCCGAGCTTATGTGGATTTGCTGTTTACCCAAACAGAAAGCAGAGCTAGGGTTCCTGCTCACAAGGAATTGTCATTTTAAAATTATAGGGTTCACCCCCCCACACACAACATACACAATCATTTCTACTTTCTGGGCATGCAGAGATGTCTCAGGCATGGTCTTGGCCCTCAAAAAGTTAGAGTCAAGTGGGGCAGGTACATGTGCCACAGATTGCTGCCTTAATAGAGAAATGTAAAGTGGGCTAATGACTGAGAATGCTTGGGGACAGTGGTTGAGAATCAGAACATAGTAACACGAAGGAGTTCATGAGGGCTGCCTTACTCTTTCCTTTCTCCGGTTATTTGGTGAACTATTTAGATGTGTGGGTTTGGTGTTGGACTTGGACAGGTGTTGGACATTCACCTAAGAACAAGATCCATAGTTTTTCTGTCTTCAAGGGGTTCAATAGTGGAAGAGATAGGTCAATCACAAGCAGCAATTTGGGCAATAGTAGGAGAATTTATGCAGTGCTGTGGGAACACTGAAGGTGCAGCTAACCCAGAATTGGGGTGGGGCTGTATAAGAGGACCTTCCAGAAGATAAGCCGTCTAACATGAGATATGCCAGAAAAGGAGGCAGTACTCTATTGGAATGTTCAACCCCAGAGGAGGGAGAGTTCCCTTGCCTGGGAATCAGTCTCAAAGAAGTGCTGGAGCTGGGCTTTTAACTATGGGAAGTGGATAGACAAGGAGATGGAGGGAAAAAAGAGCCCAGTGGGAAAACTGAAAGAAGGAAAGCATGATCCTGTGTTCAGGGGGACAGACAGTTTCTGTTGGAGTGGAGACTTGAGAGCAGGCAGTATCTTTGATCTTATCACTGTGTTCTCTGGTAATTATTTACTCTCTATCTTGCCACTAGAAATGAGATCACCTTGGGGTTGGGAACTGTGTCTTTCATCTGTCTATTGAGCCAGGAGTGGTGGCATAGGCCTGTAATCCCAGCTTCTTGAGCCTGGCGAAGAAGGATCATGAATTTGAGGCCAGCTTTGGCAACTCAGATCCTGTCTCAAAAAATAAAGAGGGCTGGGGATGTGGCTCAGGGGTTGAGCACTACTGGGTTAAATTCCCAGAACTACAAAAAACAAAATCCCCCAAATCATTTGTCATTATTGTCCCAACACATGACTGGTCTGAGAGCAGGCCTCAGTTAACTTTGGGAGAACTGAATGATTTTAGATGAAGCATGTCTATCAAAAGTTTTTTTTTTTTTTCCTTCCACCAGAACTGTGGGAGAGATTAGATTGCCCTCACATGCTAAGAATTCCAATGGGAAAAAAAGTGGAGGGGGGGCTGGGGTTGTGGCTCAGCAGTAGAGCGCTCGCCTAACATGTACTTGAACATGGTTTCAATCCTCAGCACCATATAAAAATAAAGATATTGTGTCCAACTACAACTAAAAATATATATTTTTTTTTAAAAAGTGGAGGGCAGGAAGATTCTTTAGGATACTATCCTATGAGATGGTAAAGATATGAGTGATGGCAGTGGCCATAGAAATGGAGAGATGGGGCCATTGGGAGAGGTCTGGGGCAGAGTGGATAAGAGTTTATTCATCAGGTCAGGAATGAAAGGAATGTGGAGAATTGGGCTGAGAAGTATGTATGTTAGAGGGAAGTTGGGGGTTGGTGGAAGGAACACTGGATGGAAAAAGAATTTCATTGTAGATGGGCTGAATTCGGAGTGATGGTGAGTTGTCCATATAGAATTATCCACGGGTGGCATACACCTGTAGTCCTAGCACTCGGGAGGCTGAGGTAGGATCAGTTGAGCCACCGAGTCTGATACTAGCCTGGTCATCTTAAAAAAAAAAAAAATGAAGAAATGGACTCCAAGAGGAAATATGGGGTTGAAACTCAAGAAACCAGGGTGAAGCCATCCCCTGTAGAGTTGAGGCCATGAAAAAGAAATGGAGCTCAGGTTCTCAGGCTCACTGCCACATCTGGGCTCAGTCTTCTCCACATTTTGTCATGTCAGCATCTCCATGAAGGAGGAACTTCCTACCTCCGAAATCCTCTACCTGGGCCATCTGAGACAACTGTTGAGAAACCCTCCAGTTCAGCTCCAGTCTGCCTCACTCTAAACCCCAAGATTATTATTCAGTCTTAACTCCTGCTATAGTAACTGCTGACTTTATGGCAGACACCGTTGTTGATGCTTTGCATTAGTAACTAACATTGAATGTGCAGAGTCATCTGCAGTCAAGAAGCAGAATGAGGCTGGGTGTGGTAGCACACACCTGTAATCCCAGCAATTCAGGAGGCTGAGGCATGAGGACCATGAATTCAAAGCCAGCCTGAGCAACTTGGCAAGGCCCTAAGCCTCAGTGAGACCATGTCTCTAAATAAAATACAAAATAGGGCTGGGGATGTGGCTCAGTGGTTGAGTGCACCTGAGTTCAATCCCCAGTACAGATTGTGATCAAAGGCGGTGTTATGTCTTCACCCCCACTCTTTAAATCTTTGCTTGCATTACATCTAGCTACCAAGACAGAAGTTTCAATAGCTTAATGTCCCATTCACATTAATAATCAAAACTGAGCTGAATTAAAAGTTAAAGATTGTCCCTTCCCTTCTCGAGCTTTCTATAGGCTCCTGCATTTGGGGAGGAAGGTTCTCAACTTCTGTTTCTTGCTTCCTCACTCCTCCATTCCACCCCAGGTAGACGTGGCTTATGACACATCTGGTGTGGGCAGAGTGGTGTTGTAAGTGGAGATGAAGCAAGAAAGTTCCCTTTGTCATTAGTTCTTCTGAGGTTGATGGGAGTTCCGGGCTGCCTCCCATGCAGTGCTTTTGCGGGTCGGTCTTAACCTTCAGATCCCCTGACCTACGTGGTCATGTCTCAATCTTGTTGCTTTTAGTACCTCTCAGCCCTTGGTTTCTGGAATCCTCCACTGCTTGATATTGATTCATTGTCCCTTTAGGTGATGCTTGTAGGCTAAGTCCCTGTAGGGTAGCTCCTTATTGGCCTTATCTCCTGCCTGACTCACATCTGGGATCCAGACCCTTTGCCTCAACAGCTTCTGGGGATTCAGGCCACTTCTACTGCTGCTTCTGCTTTGCTACCAGCTAGCCTGCCTCCAATTTTTCCAGCCATGGGGCCAACGTTGCCCTCTGTGCCTGTACAAGCTTTAGTGGGCAAGGCTGAGCTATTCTAGGGCTTTCTTCTGGTTTCACAGATTGTTCCAAGAAAGCCAAAACTTGTAAGACTGGTCAGTATTTGAAATCTGAGGAAGGTGTGAACAAGACAAGAACTTTGAGATGCTGGAAAGAAAAAATGAGGGGGAGGTATTAGGTGGACAGGATGAGATAAGAGGATGCTTATCTCTGTGACTGGGAGAAAACACAGAAGGGCACCTAGAAAGCAGTGGATAAGGGAGGGCAGCATACCCAGTGGCCTTAATCTTCCCAGGCAACAGCTGGAAAATAAGCCGGGTGAGGACTGAGCAAGGATAAGAAGGTTTGCACAACAGATGCAGCCGCTGGGGAAATGCTGGCATAGGAGGAAAGACCAGAAAGGGATTAGCTTTCTAGTGGCCGTGAGGACCAAACTGAAGTTCTCAGTGTGTGTGTGTGTGTGTGTGTGTGTGTGTGTGTGTGTGTGTGCGCGCGCGCGCACGCTGGTCCTCCTGGACTTGCTCCAGACACCAAGGTCAAGAACATACACAGCCTTGCATCCACACATCTGCATGTTCATGTTCCAGAACATAAACATGTGCATCTACATGAGGAGCTCAGTTTTTATTGATGTTCAGTTTACATTCAATAAAGTATATACAGGTCTTAAATGTTCTGCTTAGTTTTAACAATTTTTACCCTTGTAATGCCCCCCAAGCAAACAATAAACTGTATTTTCTGAAAATACATGCTCCTTTCTGAAAATACATGCTCCTCATGCTCCTTTCCACCAGTCTCCAAGATAGCTATTTCCTGGTTTCTATTACCATAGATTCATTTTGCCTGTTCATTGTATGTAAAAATATACAAATACACTGGCATCCTCCTCATCCGACCCTGTACACCTGCATGTATTGACTGTTTAGTGGGCTAAGATCACAATCGTGTGTGAGATTTGGGGATTGGGTGCACACATATATGATCTTCAACCCAAGATCATTCCTTTCGGATCTCTAGAACTAAAATGAAGAGTTAGAAAGCTGGTCATCATTCTATCTTTTACAGGAGTTTTATTTTTCTCTTCATGCTCTGGGATATTGGCAATTAGGGACATATTTTAAAACTTCAGCTTTAATGTCACTTGGAACTCAGAAGTAGTCCAGGGGTTTGGCTCTCCAGGCTCCGTTGTGGTAAGACAGCTAGGAGGTAGTGGACTGGTCACTGCAGAGATGGCAAGAAGCTGCCAGCAAGGAGCTCCCGGAGCTGAGAGTCACTAATGGAGACAGATCCGAGTCTGAAGTGGGGGAAGTGAGAGCAGAACTGATATCAGAGCCTGGTTAGGGTCAAGGACCTGTATCAAGTGGAAGGTGGGGCCTAAACTCAATCAAAGAGCAGAGGAGAAGCAGGCC